TCGGAGTAAATTGGTTAGCAAAACTTGGGGCACATACCCAAATATTGATTCTACACATTTTTTTCCCACTGGAATGTAGATATGCATGTTGGCTATGACTTTCATTGCCATGAGATGCATGTTAGGTAGACATTTCATTCTTTTACTTTTTCTCAGTTATGTTTTGCAAGAGTCCATATATTAAATTGTTATTTTTTCTTGACTTCTTACTGACTTTTCATATTCTATTCTTAAGTACGACATTTGCATTGCACCTTTTTAAAAGCCATAATTCAAGACCACTATGCAATTAAAAAAAAAGCCTTAGAAGGCACTGCAATTAAGGGGACTCTCCTGTGACCCAGGCAGGCTTCATATGGGGAAAAAATATAGTCTGTGTAGACCATGTTTGTTCCAGGTCACAGAACTGTAGAATTGGAAAAGATGACAAAAGCCATCCAGTTCAATTGCAGAATTCACAGTCAAAGCACTCCCAGCAGATGGCCATCCAGCCTTTGCTTTAAAATATCCAGAAAATAAAATTCTACAACATTCCAAGGCAGAACATTCCACTGTCAGAACAGCTCTTATTGCCAGGAGCTTTATTCAGGTGGAATCTCCTTTCTTGTAGCTTCAATCCATTGTTTTGTGTCCTTAGGCCCTTCCAGACAGGGCCCTACCTGACTTTTACCTGAGGCATCCAAACAATGCCTCAAGTAAAACAGGATGAATTTGAGACAAAGCAAGAAAATCATGCTTTATCCCAAAGTAATTTGATAGCCCATTAGAACTGGACCTTCTTGAAAGGCCCAGATTTAATGGGGTATGGTCCCAGTGTGGACTGACCCTCCTGGTGCTTCCAGGAGTCAGTGTCCATACTCATCTCACACCTTTTGGGCTCCTGGAGCCCAAAGATGCAAGATGGTGCCCCACCCCCTTCCCAATCCCCCCCCCCCCAAGTCTTAAAATTTTAAAATCCTTACCTGGTCGCCACGAGGCTGTTCCAGCAGCCCTCCTGGTGTATAACATGGATGCACCAGAAGGTATTGGTGGTGGGAAATTTCTTCTTCTTCTCCCCCACCACCACTGCCTCCTGGCACATCATTTTTATGCACCAGAAGGGCTGCCAGAACAGCCTCATGATGACCTGGTAAATATTTTTTATTTTTTTAAAGGCTTTGGGAAGGGTCGGTAGCCCTATTTCGGTGCAGTAGTTATGATGCTGGCATAGGGTTTTTCTTTGGGTGTGGGGACTTAAACCCACTCGTGGGTTTACACCCTGTGTGGAAGCGTCCTAAGTCCCTGGAGCAACATAAAACAAGTTGGCTTCATTTTCAATATGAAGGTGATCAACTATATGTTTTAATATTACGACTGAAACATGGAGTGGATTAAACACTGTTTGGTTGAGTATGGTGGCAGATTGCACAACATAGCCTTTGTGGTCCCTTTGAATTCTTTAGATTCCATGAAGTCACTAAACATCCCTGCAGTACCCCCCCCCCCAACCTTTTTGGTCTATCTTGTTGACTTCTGTTCCTTTTTCAATGGCTTTTTCTATTTTCTCTGCAGTGAGCCTAGGTGCTACCCAGGTGTTAAGTCAGCCTGGATGCCTTTTCCCGTCTCAACTGCTTTTCATTTCCTTATAAATGTTTTCCCCTCTCTTGTAATTAATCCACTTCATTTATTTTTGGCCTATGGATTAAATCTGGCCATGAAAAGGTCATTGCAGCTTTCAGACTCTAGAAACATCTGTGAAGATCTTAATTAATACAATGGAGACCATTAAGATAATGGACTCCAGTTCCAAGAATATTTAACCAGATTAGGGCCAAAGAGAAGTTTTGTTTGAGAACATAATTGAAGATTCTGTTCATGATCTGAATGCATTAGGACAAGGATAGCCAAGTTTCTGCAGGACAAATTCAAGTGAGCTCTAGAGGTGCCTTTATCTTATCTTCTGTAGCCACATTGAATTTTAAACCACACACTATAGTGGCAAAAGCAACTTTTGTTTGCAGTTTCACTTACAAGAAGAAGAACCAATGAACTTACTTACGTCTTCTACATAAATGCTGATGTATTGTTATTTGCAGACAGATGCTGGCTTGAATATATGGATCAATACACTAGTGATCTCATGGTGTTAATTATAAAGGTATATTTTATCTGTGTATTCAAGTGTTCATGATTCATAAATTTTGCTGAAGGTTTGAATGAGAGGAAGAAAACTTTCCAGAGTCTTTGTCTGAAAAACTGCAAGCTGGGAAGGTTTAATGATACAGTGGATATCAACTATTGCTTGGATTATTACTCTCTCTGTGTGTGTGTGAATGTGAATACAAATGTATACACACATTAGCATAGACTGATAGCGATGGCAGGATTTGTCATCTTTCCCCTTTAATACTTATTGCCTGAGATGTGGTTTTAAAAAGTCACTGCATGAAAAAAAACAAACAATAAATGATACACAAGTCTAAAAGCAATAAAATGTCAAATATCATGCACCTGACCCCATTATATGCATTTTAATCTGCTGGGCATGTGCACTGTTCACATTTCAAAGTATTTACGAAAACGGAAACTTATAAAGTGAGGAGATCTGATTCACAGGAGTGTTGGATTCAGCTATTTGGACTTAACTAAGTAGAATGCAGTCACCTATCATTGGACTTGTATTGGTTCTTGGATCAGAAAATAAACTGCATTTAATTTAATTTAGTGTAATGAAAATCCAATGAGTCACCAAGTGAATATATAAAGAGCACTTCATAGTAAAGTCTTGCTGATGGTTTAATTTTTTTTTTTAAAAAAAAATGGTACTTGGATCAATTTCATGAGCACAGTTCCACCTGGATTCTGCTGCATAGAAAAGACTTGAATCCATTTGAAATTCTTTAGGGAGGGGATTTGTGCCTTCAAAGCTGCTATCTGAAATTCTTTTTTAAGATTAAAGTGTAATGCTCACTAGGGCCTTTCGACCTGCATGTAGAGTTTTCCTGAACTGGACTGCTTTGTTACCCTTTTCCTGGGTTCATGTCATGAAGGTACTAGGAGTATGTTTTCATAATAATTCTACTATAGCAGTGTTACAAGTCCTGTTGATGAGAAATAAGAAGATTAATCTAAATAATCTTTGAATCTTTGTGCCAGAAAAGTTTAAATTCTCACAAGCCTTTGGAACATTATAGCTATGAGATTCAACAAAAAGAAACTGGAAAGCTAAGAAAAAGTAACTCTGTTATTTATGTGTGTACACCCCATCCACCCTCACACACAGACATTTGTCAAAGAGCAGCAGAGTGACTGGATTCTCAGGGTCACTGTTGAAACAGTAAAGTCAGTCACTGCTGTGTAAAGTGTCACTTCATCATGCTTTGGCATTGTTTTTCCAACATCCTCTATGTCACCTGAATTTATTCTCCGCCTCATCATCCAGCCCTCCTTTTTTCTTCCAGGAAAAAAGTCAATCCCTTTAACAACCATCTGTTTGCCATGTTGAGCCTGTCAAAACTTTCATGTAGAATAAGCATCCCATTACGATGAAGGAGAATCTGTGAATTGGGGTGAAAACATTATGTTAGGAAAGGGATGACTCATTTCCTTTCATCTGCATTATGTCCAACAGGATCAGCTAACTGTCCCAAGATTTGATTCTACTAGCAGGTCCTAGGAGTGTCAGGAGTGACTTGAGAAACTGCAAGTCACTTCTGGTGTGAGAGAATTGGCCGTCTGCAAGCACATTGCCCAGGGGACACCCGGATGTTTTGATGTTTTACCATCCTTGTGGGAGGCTTCTCTCATGTCCCCACTTGGGGAGCAGGAGCTGACAGAGGGAGCTCATCCATATTCTCCCTGGATTTGAACCTCTGACCTGTCACTCTTCAGTCCTGCCAGCACAAGGATTTAACCCTCTGTGCCACTGGGAGCTCTATATTGGTAATGAGCAGAGGCTTATTCCATAATCAGAGGAGGGATACAAATAAACCAACAGCTACTGGAAGTAGCTGAATTTCTGCAGATATACTAGTGGAAGGTATGTTTCTTTTGGCTGATCGGGATCAATAAGGTTGCATACTCTCCAACGTTTCACAGATCATTACTGGCACATGTGTAGAGAGGCAACATTAGAGATAGGTGATTTGGGAGAACAAGATTCTCCTCTTCCTTTCCTCTACCTGCTGCTTAATTAATGAGGGTACAAAAGACTTTTGCACTTTGCATTCCGTGTATAGCAATGGTATTAACCAAATCTATATGATGTGAATATTGAAATACTCCCTTCACATTACCTGATCTTAAAACATCCATTACTCATTCCTTAGTATCTTTCACACATATAAAAACATCCAATTTCCCCCTTTTTTATTTTACTTCTTTACAATTGTAATTCATTTTCTCCAGATATTTCTCATTGTATCAGTTCTTCATATTCCTAATATAGTATTCTGAAACACAAGTGCTTTCCAATTCTTCCTTTCTCCAAGATCCTGAATTGGAGACTATGATTTGTAACTTTATGGGATTGTAACTATGTCCCCAACAGGACATGCAGTCATTACAATGAACTGTAACAATGCATGTTGGAATTTCCTGCCTGTTCTGTAGATGGGATTTCTCATATAGTAACAAAAAGTTCTTATAGTCCCCATTCTGGTGACCATAGGACTACAGACACCATAGTACTCTGATACTCACTTCAGCATCTTTTTTGAAAACCACTTACTCTCCTTGTGCATAATGTTTTAAATGTTAGTTCACAGGCAGAATTTTGCCATTCTTTTTTTCTACTGTATCTTGCAGAGAATCATTCTAAGGTGCTGGATAACTGATTGTGCATGTTGGTCATATAGTTTGTACTTCTGGGTGATTCCAGATCTGAAAAGACTAGATCCACATTGTATTTTCATAGGAGGTATCAGAAAATACATCTCTGCTGTCACTGTAATTTGTCTTTTAAGGTGCCCCCTCAAAACATTTAAGTTGATGAATATTGTGTCTATGTTCTATCTTGACAGGAATCTGTCTCTGAAGTTGTCAAAGGAGACGGATCGAGGAGAAACAAGGTGTCCTCATGTCAATCAACTTGCCAGCAGCCCGTCTGTGGAATGGCCTTTTGCAGCCATGGAAGAAGGTGGAGGGATGGAATCCTTGCCTTTACGGCTGATGATGCAAGACTGTACAGCTGTTAAAACACTGCTGTTGAAAATGAAGCGGGTTCTCCAAGAGGTAAGGACTGAAGTAGAAAGTTTGCTGGTCTAATATTGAGTGTTGTTTAGAAAAACACAGAAGTAACTTAGTTTCCAGACACTCATCTTCTTGCACTCCTGATTTACTGATATACTTAGCGCATTTATCTCATGTTGTTACCTCCTTTCCTCCAGCACTATTGAACTGCAAGGTCATACATAAATGTTTGCTTTTGTTTTTGACTTGCAACAACTAATTGTTTCATCCAAACCAGAAACCATGCTTTGTTTTAACAGTACCATATCCAAAATATAGCAAGCTATGTTTAAGTTGAAAGCAGGATGTTGCAGGATCTACTGAACCTTTATGAACAAGAGGAAAAAAAGATAGGAGAATGCACAACCCTGAGACTCATCCATATAGCACTAAAGTCTGTTTTAATATTTCATCCAAATGCATTTGGCAAGAAAGCTGTTTTCATTATTTCTACTGTGACTGACCACTTGATTTTTTGCACTGTTGTATTGGAACTGTAGCAGAAGGGTTCCAGGAAAATTAGGCAGGCAGTAGCATGATGATACTAATAAAACACATTTGGAAGTGAACCAACTTTCTAGTTCTTCAACGCTTCACTTTTTTGCAATCCCAGAATACCCATGTTCAAACACATATTCACAAATACAAGGTCCACAAACTTAGTAAATGAATATCCTGCCTTTTTAGAACTCAGGTTGATTTTGGTGGTTAGTACAAGATCAATAGCTAGTTTTGGATTTGATCAGGTTTTATCTTTGTGTGTGTGTGTGTGTGTATGCTGGCAGCTTGAAAAGATTGGCACTCAGTGAAGCCCTCTGTCAATCCAACAAATACCTTAAATTATTACCAAATTAAAAGGCAGTTGTGCATTTATTAGACTGTAAACCTCTCCAGGTTCCTTTAGCTTACCCAGTTTGTAATTAAGTGTAGTATTGTTGATTTATTTAATGAGACTGCACTTGAGGGAGCCTCTTTTTAAAATAAAGTAATTCATACTAGAAACTGGTAATCCTTTCATTTCATCCCACTTTAACTCACATCAACATTGAATGTTACTATTATTATCATTGGCATTCATATTGAACATCAGATTGAATGAAAAATCTTACCTGACAGTATATTTCTCTTCTTTTCTCATATGTTTGCCTCCTACTTACAAATCAACCAGTTTGCTGGCATTTAACTTGGTGTCTGGGCATTTCTTGTCAGAAAGAATAGTTTTGAATGATTATAGTTGGTATTTGAGGGGTTAGAAATGTTGTTTTCTTGTTTTTTCTTGGGGAAGAAGAGGGTAAGTGAGCAATGGTGGGGTATATAAAACCATGCACTGAACTTCTTATAATACCTGAAACAGGTCATTCGCGGACACATAAAAGTAGGCTAATTTTCATGCTGCTCATGCCTCAACTATAGAGTTAGCTATTTCAAAATGCATTAATGTTGGCTAACCTGGACAAAGTCAAAAAGAAGTTGAAGAATTTATTGAAGAACTACAAGTGGCTACTTGTCAAGATGAAAGTATGTTTTGTACATTTGCATTCTACAGGTTTACAGTCTAATAAGTGCACAACAGGGACAGTGTGCCTCTGTATGTCTCTGTATGTTTATTTATTGATAACACTAGACAAATGGATGCTGTTGTATCCATATTTCCGTATGACTTCCTGTAGGCAATTGTATTATACAATGTGAATAGAATGATATAGTATCTGTTGTCTGATCTAGCATGGCTCATCTGGGTAATTCTCCTAACACACTTAGCTGACTAGATTTTTTTAATGAAAAGGTTAGTATCCAACCATAGAATCATAGAACTTTGAGTTGGAAGAGACCTTATGGGCCATCCAGTCCAACCCCCTGCCAAAAAGCACCCCTGACAAATGGCCATCCAGCCTCTGTATAAAGTCCTCCAAAGAAGGAGATTCCACCACAGGCAGAGACTTCCACTGCCGAACAGCTCTCACAGTTAGGAAGTTCTTTCTAATGTTCAGGTGCAATCTCCTTTCCTGTAGTTTGAAGCCATTGTTCCACATCCTTGTCTCCAGGGCAGCAGAAAACAAGCATGCTCCCTTCTCCCTATAACTTCCCCTCTCATATTTATACTTGGCCCTCATCATGTCTCCTCTCAGCCTTCTCTTCTGCAGGCTAAACATGCCCAACTCTTTAAGCTGTTCCTCAAAGGGCTTGTTCTCCAGACCCTTGATCATTTTAGTCACCCTCCTCCAGACACATTCCAGCTTGTCCACATCTCCCTTCAGTTGTGGTGCCCAGTATTCCAGGTGTGGTCTGACCAAGGCAGAATAAAGAGCTAGCATGAGTTTCCTGGATCTAGACATTATTCAGTGGACCCTCAATTATCGCAGGTATTACATTCCTGGACCACCCACGATCAGTGAAATTCCATGATGTAGGGCAGCCCCCTCACCTTCCCTCCTCGTCCTCCTTACCTTTGTCTTCCTCCTTATCACCGCATGGGGCCTCTTGCTGCTGCTTGGGTCCTGTGACACCTCAGTTGTGGGGCCCTAGCAGTAGCAAGAGGCCCCATGAGGCAATGAAGAGGAGGAAGAGGAAGGTGAGGGGTTGGCTCTTTTCCCCCCCTCACCCTCCTTACCTTCCTCCTCCTCCTCTTCACCACCTGGAGCCTCTTGCTGCGATGCCGCATGGGGCCCAAGTGGCAGCAAGAAGCCCCAGGTGCCAAAAAGGAGGATGAGGAAGGTAAAGAGGACAAAATTCTTTTAAAACAAACGAACAAACCACAAAACAGCGAGTCCGCGATAACCGGACCGCAAAGGAGCGAGGGACCACTGTACTCCTATTTATGCAGGCCAAAATCCCATCAGCTTTTAAAGCTGTTGCATGAGATTGATGGCTCATGTTTAACTTGTTGTCCACGAAGACTCGAAGATCTTTTTCACACGTACAGCTGTCAAGCCAATACCTTTGCATTTCATGTTTTCTCCCAAAGTGGAGTATCTTGTATTTGCCCTTGTTGAACTTCATTTTGTTCATTTTGGCCCATCTCTCTAATCTTTTAAGATCATTTTGAATTCTGTTCCTGTCTTCTGGGATATTAGTTAAACCATTCATTATTACTTTAAAAGTGTTGGTCTTTAAAAGAAATCACATCCAGCCAATTTTCAAGTTAGGAACAAGCCTTTCCAAATCAACCCGGGACTTCTTTGGCAAAAGAGCAGACAACGTGGTTATTTTATTTGTCCTGATCAGTTCATATAAACCAGAGATTGCCTTGCAGATTATCTATAAAGTTTGGGAGAAGTTTTTAGACACTTAAAAAATTAAAAGTTTACAAAATCAAAATCAAAAGTTTAGGATATAATGAAATTAGACTCTGTCCTTTTCATAGTCTTAGTAAGTTTGAACTAAATGATCTAGACCTTAATGACGGCAAAAATAAAAATGTTCCTAATAATGAGGAAGACAAAGTTTAATAATGTTAATGATAACTAGGCTCCTAATGAGTTCTCCAACTCTGTTAATAAAAAGCAATAGAAAATAGAAGCGGGATAAGACGGAGGGCACTACAGACAGAGGAGTTCCCGACCCATGTTATGCAGTAATTGAATCTCCTAACGGCTTAATTGGATTGAAGGAATTAAAATGTCAAGTTGTCAAGCATAATTTTCTAATATGTAAAGCAACACTAACTGTATGCGGAGGAATGTAAAAGAAACTCTGTCCCACTTTTGGACGTCATCTATATAGTTCAAAAACACTTTCCTCATATATTAATATGTTTTGCTTGCCCATTCTTTTTCCTTTGTGCAGGGAAGACTTTCATCAGTAGGAAAAATAGTCTTACTTTATAAGCCAATATCAAAAGAACAAGAGAAAGATCGTTTTTCACCATCTTTTTTTCACTGTCTCATGGGCAGAAAATAGGATCACATTAAAAACAAACAATTGTGGGTTATAATATCTTTTAGAAAGGAAAGCTTAGAGAAGACAATTATGCTGCGGAAAATGGAAGGAAAAAGGAAGAGGGGCTGACCAAGGGCAAGATGGATGGATGGGATCCTTGAAGTGACTGGATTGACCTTGAAGGAGCTGGGGGTGGTGATGGCTGACAGGGAGCTCTGGCGTAGGCTAGTAGCCCATGAGGTCACGAAGAGTCAGAAATGACTGAATGAATGAATAACAACAATATCTTTTAAAAGCCCACAACCACAGTCAAGAGTGTGACAAACAAGATAGAAGAACACTGTATCAGGAGCTTGGTTGTTGAGAGAGGTAACACATGGGGGGGGGGGAGAATTAGCAGTTCTGGGCCTTATTCAGTCTGAGGGCAGCGTAGTTTCTTCTTCCTTCATTTCTGAACAAGTGTTTGAAATGATGAGCGAATTTAAGTCTAGGAAATTTTTGTTTGGAAAAAAGAATTCTCAAGACCTTTCATTTTGCAAGATAATGCATTGTACAGAACCCATGTTTGTAAATCGATAGGGTTCTGTACACTTAAAAATGGTTGTGCTGCAGTAAAAGTAATGATAATTATATTAGTACTGAATTAAAGAAGTGGTCTCACATAGCATTTAATGGAAAAAGAACCACAGGTGTATTGACCATACCAGTTCATGTAAGAATAGGGCACAATGCTTTCCTCACTGCAACTAACAACTCTTTGGCATAGAACAGGCATTATCATGAGGCCTAACTAATGGGTGTGTAATGAATCCCTTACCTTAGCTGGCTGCCTAAGGGAGTGGACCTGGCAAAGCCACAGCATCCATTTTAGAAAAGGGAGACAGGGAGAAGCCATTTTAATTAGGTTTGCCTTGAGGGGGTGTGTTCAAGTTTTAGAGGGAAAATAAGGAGGCTAGGATTGGCTAGAAAGATGGGGGCGGAGCCTAAGTGGTCTAGAGGGGGGGAAAGTGTCTTCTAAACAGAGGCTTAAAGTCCCAGTTAGTCGGTTGGAGTTTGGATGTTAGAGAGAGAAGAAGAGTTGGTGTTAGTGAGAGCGAGTTTGGGTTTGGAGAAGAAGATTGGGT